ACGTCGTCGGGCGGTGGGCGGCGTTCGCAGGGGGTGCTGGCCAGCGTGCCCGGCCGCGCGAGCGGTGGGTGGCTGGTAGAATCCGGCCGCGGCAAGAAGCTTTCTTCGTCAGATCTGGAGGCGCGAAATCCCTATTCCCTGCTGCCTCTCTCTCGCCTCTGGTGTGGGCTAGCTTTCTGGCTCCGGCGTTGGTGCGTGTTGGTGGTCAGCTAGGGAACCGGGGAAACCTTGGCCGGTCCGGTCGGCCCGGCGGCGGCAACGCCCAAGGGCGCTGCTTTCCTCCATGGGGGCGCAGCCGAGGTCCCCTGCTCTCCACCCCGATCCCCCTGCCCGGGTGAAAACCTTTATCCTCAGCGGATTTGGCGGCGGCAGCGCCTTGCGCGTCGTGACCTTGCTGGAGGCGTCGTCAAGGGTGCGGGGCTCGGGCGGGAGGTTATGTAGGTGACGGATGGAGCTACCTCCTCTGCGTCGTACGAGTCCTTGAAGCTTGTCTCCAACTAGTTGGGCATGGACTGTGGCGGAGCAGCCGGCGAGATATATCCCAAATCGATGTGGTCATCCTATGTCCACCTTGCGATGCGAGGGCGACATTCTTCCAGCTCTAGGGTGAGCTTCTCGAAATCCCGATGGTGCGGCGCCTACGAGCCATGGCGAGGGGGAAGGGTCCCTCTTCGGTGATTGAGAGGGAAGATGTTGGTTCCTTTTCTCTCTAGGTGTTCCTGGAGCACGGTCCATCCTCGAAGGTCGGCTATGTCCTGTTGTGCTGCTCCGTTTCTGCTACATATGATCCTAGTGTGGAGTGCTCGGCCTTTGCTAGCTGCAATTCATTTGCGGCTTGTGGAGGTTGTAGTGAGCAGGCTTTCCAGTGTTCCTCGTTGTATCGTTCTGACCGTTGTAAGTTGGGTTGTCTGTTGTAACTCCTGGCCGGTTGATGGCTTTGTTAATTCAAAGCCGGGCTCTTTCGCGAACCGTCGTTCTAAAAAAATTACAACTTCTCTCAAATGCAACTTACCAACATATATGAAAAGTAATGTCGTCAAGCAAGGTTAATTGAGATAAATAAGCTAGAACTACCCTAAGCACTAATAATCAAGAAGATAGAACTAGCTGAAATGTGAACACATGACGACGATGTGGGTTTTGCCCAAAGTTCGAATCCTTGGCAGGGCAGGGGGCGTCGAATCTCTGTTGGGGAATCTTGGGACACCAAGTTAAAAAGATCAAAGATGTCGAGTAGAGGGGGGTGGTGAATTGGTGACTACAAATTTAATCTCTTTCTTGGCAAATTTCACGGATATGTGGACAAGTAAGTTCTGTAAATGCACAACTACGTGAACCAGCATGTTGTTGTTATCAAAAGAACTCTCAACTAGCAGATTGTATGTAGTGAAAGTGCATCGTCTCCTAATTAATGGTTTTTATGACAATAGGGTTATTGAGATCTAATGTTATTTATCAAGTTTATCTCATGACATTGGACTCTCCGTGATTGTCTACGGACACGGGTGACCCTTAATTTAAAAGGAGAAAAGGCGTTGGCTTTTTTGAAGACTCATAAGTTTTTCTGTTTATTTTAGTCGTAGGAAAACCGCACTATAAAGAGGGGCCGCAGTGTTGAGAGTGTTGGGGTTCTCAATCCAAACATGTCAAAAGCCTCACAACTATGCCATCATCAAATAAGGGTAAAACCACATATCATACTAATGTTGCTAGGTCCACCAGGTGCCCGAGGTCCTGGATCTCTGGGTGCTAGGAGTCGCCAGAGAGGTTATGGTGTTCCTTTAGAGTGACCGGGTATATGGGTCCTGGACCCCGAGTGCCCTAAGTGGTGTTTTGCCCCTGGACACCCTAGGTGCCCGGAATCTCTACTTTGGGTTCTTGGACCACTTTGTGTGCGGATCCCATGTGTAGTCCGGGTGCGTAGGCTATGAACCTCGGGTGCCTAGAGTCTCAGCGGGGCGATGCCTCTTTTTATCACTTGGGCGGGGGTATAAATAACTCCCCTTCTTCTATCTCTCAAGCTAACCAAATTGAGCTACTCTGCCATTTTTCGAACTCTAAAAGCTTAGTTACTTACTATTCCTCCAACCACACACTCCAATTCTTTGAGAATTGGAAGAGCTTTATCCGATTTGCATTTTCACCAAATCAATTTGTGATTCCCGAACTCATTCTTCACCAACAGTTGCTATTCTTGGAGCTTGGGCTTGTAAGTGGTAGAGATTCCCTGGAACCTTTCTTGCCAACTGCCAGTACTAAAATTCATGTGTAGCCTCTGTAGGGTGGATAGCACGACTAGATGTTTCGGATGGGATCGCACATGGGGCTTTTACCCATGTTCGGGCCCTCATGGTCGTGGTAAAACCCTAGTCCTGCTTTTGCTTTGACGGATTGTGGAAAACACCTCATGTGAGTGGGTTACGATATGTGGTGATTGTTGCTCTTGAGATGATGAGTAAGACTCAGATGGCCTCAAACTACCCCCTAGCCTCACCTTATAAAGAGGGACAAGGTCTAGGGTTACATATTCTCAACTGACCTAGCACCCCGATCGGTTGAGGGCTTCTTGACTTGCACGCCAAGACGAGGAACCTTCTAGAAGGGAGACTCCTTGCAAGGCCGAGGGCCTTCATCACATCTCGTCTTGTTGGGCCCTACTGCCAGCCCATTGACGGGCTTCCTGGCCGATGGGCCACCCCTGGTATTGTACACCATCACATGACCCTTCCCTTCTTGGCCTTGTGTGCCGAAACAAGGGGCTAGATTTGCTTTGCGATGTTGAAAATAGGGTGTAGAGGAGTAATCCTATTGGGAAAAGGTGAAAAAAAATAGGACAAAGAGTCTAAGAGGGTCTCCATTTTTTTCAATTAACTCTACTTTTTCGCATTTTCTAGTTTTTGTTACGCTTGTGTGATCCCTTCCCGAGGAATTCGTCATCCTTGCCCTAACTCGACGTAGGATGGATCCTACGGTGATTCTCGATGGGTAGATGCCCAAGAAACAAATTAGGATCCTGGGAAGAAATGGGATTACCCGAGGAGTTCATCATCCTTCCACTCGCTCAACGAAGGATGGCTTATATGGCGATTCTCAGGGGTAGATACCCAGGAACCAACGAAATAAGTGCGGTAAAGAAGAACCATATGAGTGGACTACCTGATATCAAATCCCCAAGGGCTAAAGGGCTCCAGGAGTG